AGACTCTATTCTTCAATTCCTTAGTTGACCACATATATAGTGGACAGCAAAGTTTTAACCAGTTGCAGCTTTAGAGCTACTGGTTGACGGTTTCGCAACTGCTTTTAGGATTCTGCAGCCTCACCTGGCATTAAGATGATCTTTCCTGTTAACTAAGCTTAAACACCCTTTGCTCATTTCCAGACAAACTACTCTGGTTCCCCAAACCAAATCCTTTTCTCACATGTCATTCAACTGAACGCTGCAAGTCTCTGAACAAATATTTAAGCCAAGAGATGCAATCATTCTCCCCCTTTTCTCAATTTGGAGAAATCCCTGGATGGACACCTCCTCCTCTTTGTTTCCAAAAAACATATCATATAGCTGCTCTAATGACAACATGCCAAAGCAGCCAGAGATCATTTCCTCAGGTTCCTCAATTAATTTTCCTTGGCACAGTATCCCACTTGGACCGATGTGCCTCCTGGATTTGCTGCAGATGCTTTTCACATATGCTATAGTATGTTTGATTACCATCTATCTTCAGTTTAATTGAAAGTTGGCCTTCGAACCAAATCCAAATAGATAAATAAATATGACTTCACCACTTCTGACATTTAGTGGGTAATAAGGATAAACTGCTTCCTATTGACAGTTCAGAGCTATTCATTCATATCACTTGCCAAAAATCCAGCAAAGCTTTTTAACCGTACTTAAAGTTAGGAAAAAGCTTTCTTCTGTGGTCTCTTTCAGTTGCAACATCTGTATACAGAAGGGGCTTTGGACTCATCTTCTGAAGGCTGCTAACTAATACCCGTTTTGTTATGTAGCCAGTTCATACCTAGAATTTTAAGTTTCCCAATTAAAATTTAAAAAGAAAAAAAATCTGTTTTCATGTTCTTAAGAGTCTCTGAAGAGCAAAAGGCTCCTGTGGTTAGACCTAAAACCAGAAACTGAAGCAGAATTCATGTTTTTGAGGCTTTGGGGTTTTTTTGAGGACAGCCTCTGTAATGTCATACATGGCAATATATTTCCTGTGGTGTCACCTTATGGCCGATCACAAGCAGACTGAAAATAGGACTTGGTCAAGTTCAGAGTAGCTATTTAAATGTCTTTAGGCAGCAAATGGAACCACCAAAAGTAGTTGTGGCTTTACTTCACTTTTTCAGTCAACAGCCTACAGCACTAGTAATGAACTAATTCTCCAGAGCTAATGACTAAGAGAGGAGAGAGCAGATGAGTGAAACTGCAGCTACTTCTTCCAGCAGCGAAGAGCAGGCTCCAAAATCCTGTTCTCCTTGGTCACCAAAATTCAGGTGAGTTTTAGAAGGTCAAGGAAAGAGAAAAGTTGGTAGTTCCTAGAGAGAGGGAGGTGAGAGGAAAGCTTCACGTTCATCACAAATGTAGAAGGTAGGAGCTGCTATCAGTGAAGAGATCCTCAGG